ATACTTATAATAGTTATTTTAATACTTATAATAGTTATTTTGATGCTTATAATAGTTCTTTTAATACTTATAATAGTTATTTTAATACTTATAATAGTTATTTTAATACTTATAATAGTTCTTTTAATACTTATAATAGTTCTTTTAATACTTATAATAGTTATTTTAATGCTTATAATAGTTCTGTTAGTGCTTATAATAGTTCTTTTAATACTTATAATAGTTCTTTTAATACTTATAATAGTTCTGTTAATACTTATATAGTTCTTTTAATACTAAATAGTTCTTTTAAATACTTATAATAGTTCTTTTAATACTATATAGTCGTTCTTCTAATACTTATAATAGTTCTTTACTACTTATAATAGTCTTTTCATACTTATAGTAGTCTTTTAATACTTTGATAGTAGTTCTTTAATACTTATAGTAGTTCTTTTAATGTTCTAATTGTGTTATTTTAATTACTTATAATAGTGCTTTTATACTTTTAATAGTTCTTTTAATACTTATAATAGTTCTTCATACCTTTAATAGTTTTTTAAACTTTTAATAGTTCTTTTTAAACTTATAATAGTTCTTTTAAGACTTATAATAGGGTCTTTAATACTTATAATAGTTCTTCTAATACTTATAATAGTTCTTTTAACACTTATAATAGTTCTTTTAATACTTATAATAGTTCTTTTAATACTTATAATAGTTCTTTTAATACTTATAATAGTTATTTTAATACTTATAATAGTTCTTTTAATACTTATAATAGTTCTTTTAATACTTATAATAGTTCTTTTAATACTTATAATAGTTCTTTTAATACTTATAATCGTTCTTTTAATACTTATAATAGTTCTTTTAATACTTATAATAGTTCTTTTAATACTTATAATAGTTATTTTGATACTTATAATAGTTCTTTTAATACTTATAATAGTTCTTTTAATACTTATAATAGTTATTTTGATGCTTATAATAGTTCTTCTAATACTTATAATAGTTGTTTTAATACTTATAATAGTTATTTTGATGCTTATAATAGTTCTTCTAATACTTATAATAGTTGTTTTAATACTTATAATAGTTATTTTGATGCTTATAATAGTTCTTCTAATACTTATAATATTTGTTTTAATACTTATAATAGTTATTTTGATGCTTATAATAGTTCTTCTAATACTTATAATAGTTGTTTTAATACTTATAATAGTTATTTTGATGCTTATAATAGTTCTTCTAATACTTATAATAGTTGTTTTAATACTTATAATAGTTATTTTGATGCTTATAATAGTTCTTCTAATACTTATAATAGTTGTTTTAATACTTATAATAGTTATTTTGATGCTTATAATAGTTCTTCTAATACTTATAATATTTGATTTAATACTTATAATAGTTATTTTGATGCTTATAATAGTTCTTCTAATACTTATAATAGTTGTTTTAATACTTATAATAGTTATTTTGATGCTTATCATAGTTGTTTTAATACTTATAATAGATCTTTTAATACTTATAATAGTTATTTTGATGCTTATCATAGTTCTTTTAATACTTATAATAGTTATTTTGATGCTTATAATAGTTCTTTTAATACTTATAATAGTTATTTTGATGCTTATAATAGTTCTGTTAGTGCTTATAATAGTCATTTTAATACTTATAATAATTCTTTTAATACTTATGAAAGTTCTTTTAATACTTATAAAAGTTATTTTAATGCTTATAATAGTTCTTTTAATACTTATAAAAGTTATTTTAATGCTTATAATAGTTCTTTTAATGCTAATAATCACCATTTTAATACTTATAATAGTTCTTCTAATACTTATAGTAGTTATTTTAATGCTTATAATAGTTCTGTTAGTGCTTATAATAGTCATTTTAATACTTATAATAGTTCTGTTAGTGCTTATAATAGTCATTTTAATACTTATAATAATTCTTTTAATACTTATGAAAGTTCTTTTAATACTTATAAAAGTTATTTTAATGCTTATAATAGTTCTTTTAATACTTATAAAAGTTATTTTAATGCTTATAATAGTTCTTTTAATGCTAATAATCACCATTTTAATACTTATAATAGTTCTTCTAATACTTATAGTAGTTATTTTAATGCTTATAATAGTTCTGTTAGTGCTTATAATAGTCATTTTAATACTTATAATAGTTCTGTTAGTGCTTATAATAGTCATTTTAATACTTATAATAATTCTTTTAATACTTATGAAAGTTCTTTTAATACTTATAAAAGTTATTTTAATGCTTATAATAGTTCTTTTAATGCTTATAATAATCATTTGAATACTTATAATAGTTCTTCTAATACGTTTAATAGTTATTTTAATGCTTATAATAGTTCTGTTAGTGATTATAATAGTCATTTTAGTACTTATAATTATTCCTTTTAATACTTATGAAAGTTCTTTTAATGCTTATAATAGTTCTTCTAATACTTATAATATTTGTTTTAATACTTATAATAGTTATTTTAATGCTTATAATAGTTCTGTTAGTGCTTATAATAGTCATTTTAATACTTATAATAATTCTTTTAATACTTATGAAAGTTCTTTTAATACTTATAATAGTTATGTTAATGCTTATAATAGTTCTTTTAATACTTATAATAGTTATTTTAATGCTTATAATAGTTCTTTTAATACTTATAATAGTTATTTTAATGCTTATCATAGTTCTTTTAATACTTATAATAGTTATTTTAATGCTTATAATGGTTCTTTTAATACTTATAATAGTTATTTTAATGCTTATAGTAGTTCTTTTAATACTTATAAATGATTGAATCGCTCAAATTGTCCCAAGATTGATCATAGTTTCGGGCTGGTGCACTATTCAGATATTGGACACAAATCTGCACATATTTAGTCCCCAAAACAACAGTCCCCCCCCCAAAACAAGTCTGTTGAAATCGACAATCAAAAAACATCCCATGTCGGGTTCACCCACGCTCCTCGTGTTCCATAAGTTTTGGACCAATCCAACTGTATTGAATCATGGGATGAATCCCACTTTTTTATGGCAAAAAACTCCCCATGTCTCTGGACATTGGGTCGGCTGACCGCCATTGCCCGCTGCGCTGAAATCAGGTCGGGCAGATAGTGCAGGCAACCGACACCTGGATGACGGCGGATGTTGGCCTCAGCTGGAGAATCGAACCGACAGCGGCTTGGTGGAAAATCAGGGGGCAAGGGCAACTTCTGTTTTTTTTTTGGAGATTCACAAAGTCACAAAGTGCTGAATATGGTCAGATTTTTGGGAACCCTATTTCTGATTTCTGATTTACAACTAGCATTTTTTTGAGGGGATCAGAATATGGTCATTTAAAATTCCAAATTTGAATAGGGTATGCCATGGTATACCCCCAATCATGGTTATTCTAATGGAAAAATGATGAGTCACCACGTTGAAAAACTTGTCTCGAAGACCACCCAAGAATGTGAAAGAAGGACGGAGGCTTAGAGAGAGACATTAGCAGATGGGTTTCCAGAAGGCAAGATCTGTTTGCGGCCAGATGTGTTTCTGGTTTTCTGTATAACATATATGGGCGTGTCTGGAAATGGAGAATACCATGCTATACCCTAAAATACGGGAAAATGATACCCCATTTTAGGATAAAGACTGTACCATTTAGATAGGGAAACCCGGGAGTACCCAGCTAGCAGATCTATGGGATGCCCAGAAATCACCAGCGGCTTTGAAACGTTGGAACCAGGCGTATGAGCCTACCAGAGAAAAAGTGCGATGCTGCAATATGAACTGTTGGTTATACGTATGTCCCACTAAATCCCATTCCCATTTTGTTGATTTTATATGATATGTTTTCATCAAAGGACCCAATGTGCAGTCCATTCGCAGGACGTGTGAGTTGATACATGTTAAATTGATTCATTTGCTCCCAGTTTTTTTCATCCTTCTGATTTGCGCAATTTCTTGGGGCCATTCACGAGAAGGTTCAACATCATCATCACCTTGATGTCTCCGGATTAATAAACCCCCGATTGATTGGGGGAGATACCATTTTAGGAGATCAGCATCAGCTCCAAACATCATCACGAATAGCCAGCTACATACCAAAATTGCCATGATTTAATCATTGTATAAGGACATCAATCACCCCCTCAATGGTCCCAAATATGTGATTTCATCCGCTACTTGTTACCATGGTTTCCGGGGGGGGTGTTTAATATGAACGCAGGACACGATTTATTTAGAGGTTTTCATGTCATCAAATTGTTGATTATTTGATGAGTATTGATCAGTGCAAGTGCTTATGTTCAGATTTGAAGTCCAATCATTTATCTATACACATTATATATATATATGATCAACACAATTAATATTGTATATATATATATGTATTATATACATCCGATCATATCCTCTATTATACCACCATTTTTGATCATCTCAGGCATCCAATCCTGCTGCACAGACCTTCTCAGCGTGGCTCGGCGAGTTTTTGGGACTGGGACGTGTGCAACGTTCGGGGGGGACATCCGGGGTCCATTAAGAATCTTGGCTATGTTTCCATGGAAAATCACCATTTTGAGTAGGAGTTAATAGGAACATCATCTATTTACACGAGTTACATAGGATTTTTGAGTTCGGTCCTTTCAGTGATTCACCTTTGGGGATATCTCATTGATAATCTTGGATACGGTATTATATGGTAATATGATGTAATATATAACCAACAGAACATTCGGGGTGATATTTCATGATTTAATGGGGTACAATAGCAATTCATGGGAATGTCATGAGTGGGAGAAATATCTAGCATCAATATCATGATATATTGATATATATTGTATGGGGTTGTCCAAAAATGGGCTATGCTTCAGCATCCCCACAATCATGGCCACTTGAATATACTTGAATGGGGATGATGAAGATCCAATCGGTGGATTTCGGGGGACTCCATGGTCACACCCGGCCTGGTAAACATACAAAAAGCTATTGAAAATGGCAATTTATAGTGAGTTTTCCCATGAAAAATGGAGATTTTCCATAGTTATGGGACAGTTTACCATATAACTGGGTTTGAACTTTGAACTGTGGTTCTTGAGGAAAAAAACCATCGAAGCCATCAATTCTTCTTTGAGATTTCACGAGCTGCGATTCTTAGACGAGTACTTACTAAATGGAATGAACATACAAGTAGGACAATTACAGGACTAGATTTCAGGTGGGTTCCACTCACCGGTGTTTCTGGATGCACGGTATGGACCATGGCAAGTCTCTGGTGGGTCCAAATCACTTATGAAAGGTCCGGGCTCGTCACCTTTGGGCAACTCTTGATGTTCGGTCACAACATGTCACAACTCACATGTCCAAGAGATAGAAATAGCCTCAGTGATTGGGCAGTGATTGGGCTTAGTGATCTGTGAAGATCCAGTGGTTTCAACTTGTGAGGCGTTGATCTTCAAAGCTTATAGCTTGATTCAGGAGAGCTTCCAGCCACGTGTTTTTTTGGTCCTTGGATATGTGGGGGAAAACTGTGGAAACAAAGCAACTTATCCACTGAGTTTCATCATTTTCCGGATGACACTGGCAATAAATGAGGGGTGTCCCCCATTTTCGTACGAAACCATGTTGGGTGACACCTCCTGAGAGGCGCCGAAGTCAAACCTAGATACCCTCTGCTAAACTAACAGTTTGCTATTGAAAATGGCCCATTTATAGTGGATTTGCCCATTGAAAATGGTGATTTTCCATAGTTATGTTAGTTGACCAGAGGGTATATTTGGATGATTGAACGGGGGATACAGATAGTGGACCTCCCTGCACCGTCAATGAAAATGATTATAAGTGGGAATCAGATGAACCAGCCGAACTTTTCAGCTTGGTGAAGGACATTTATCACCATATATACATACATATGTATATACATACATATGTATATACAGACATATGTATATACATACATATGTATATACATACATATGTATATACATACATATGTATATATGTATATATATATACACATAAATAAATAAATATATATATATATATTTTATCCATATTACATATTGGGATGACCCAATCTAAATATACATAAAATATATACACATATGATCATATATTTTGATTGGGGATGACCTCGGATGAACATCCCTAGACGACATCGGGACGAACAAAAAGGGAGGTGAGTTTCTCACCTCACTTCACAGAGTGGGAAGTTCGACATGCTTCGGATGCAGATAAATGATATATTTTCATAATGTGTATATATATATATACACATTATAACATGTGTTATACTACATCATATATATCATATTGACAATGTGTGCACATTTATACACAATATATAGACAATACTATACATATGACATATGGTGGTTTTGACCATGATGATTCTTCAAAAAAAAATACTGTAGATGTTGTGTATATTAGTTTCTCATGCACAAATGATATGCCTGAGAGCCATGGCTGCAGGAGATGCAATTTGTGGCAAGTGCCACCTTGGCACTATGGTCTCCTGAAGCGAATGCCGACCGCTGGTTATTATTTTTGATGGTTTTTGATGGTTGTTGACGATCTTTGGAGGTTTTTGATGATCTTTGTGCTGGTTTTCGATGGTTTACTGACTATGATGCGCATAGCCAAAGATTTGAGACATTCCCATTAACAACTTGAAATAACAACTTGGCTGCGATGAGTCGAACGAAGAAGTTCTTCCGGTGAACAGTAAGATCATTTCTTTCAAGCCCAGAAGGCAACAGGAAATGCTTCATGGCTCATGATATGGACTGGCATATGGCATGGGGAAACTTTTGGGACCCAACTGAGTCAATTGAGCATGTAATATCTTTAGAGGCTTAAAATCCCATTGATATTTAAAACCCCATTTGTAAGGTCAACATGTCATATCTGTAATTGAGTCAATCATCTGTTCACGTTTTCGGATTCAGGGGCTCAAAATCCCAGAACGCAACCGGCGCAACTGTTTCAACGCGGATGCTCAGGCTGCAAAAGACCTTTGGGCAGCTCGAACAAAGAAAGATGATGCCCATAGTCCAAGAGGCGACACTCGGCGGTAGACATAATATTTTTCAATATTGGACATATGGCAACATCAGCTAGAAACGAGGTATTCTCTCAGATTAAATTCACCAGAGGCCAGCAATCAAAACTGGAGTTCTATTCTGGACTTTTGGGGCTCACTATCAAGTTTCGTCCCAACAGATCTTATGAGAAACAGATTTGCCCCCAAAGATCTGATTGGCAAAGTGGTCTACTTGGCAAAGATCTGAACAGATCGTCTCCTTTGTTTCTACATGGCTTTCTCCCAAAATAGTTATGGATGGCTTGAAATCCAAAGTTTCAAGCCTTTCAAGCGTCATCTCATGTCATATCCTCCCTTTCATTTGCCGGGATAGCCAGCTCCCAAGGATGCTGAAGCACAAAGATGCCCTCCATCAACGGGCCTTCACAGCCTTGGACTGGCCTGCCTTGGGGCAACATCACTTTCAGATCGCAGCCCATGAGGCCGTCCGGGGGCGTCCATTTTTTTATTTTGGGGTATGATTCCATCTATGATTCCATCTTAATTGGACCGGAAAAAAAAGACATGACCTGAAATGAGCCTTGGGCCGAATCCACACGTTGAGCCTCTGTTTTTGACATTTTTGCATTTTTTTGATGGCCTGGCCACCAAAAATGGAGAAAGATGAGAGGCCAATGAGTCTCTGGGCGCTGTGGTGGCCAGAAAGGGCAGCCACATGGCTGGGATGTGAGGAGTTGGGTGCTGAGTTGGGTGCGGTGATGTTCCTCCTGAAATATGGCTATTGGAATTTGCCCCACAGTGAATGTAGCCATTTGCAGATGGAGAACGTGATTTTCTGTTGGTGAATCCTGAGGACTGAGAGATGGGAACTCATCACATGTTGGAGTACACAGCTGGGGCATTGCTTTCATTGAGTATCTGTGAAGGAAGTGTGACCCGCTCTTGACTTATTGAAAAACCACTCCTAACTCTGTTATCTCTGTTACCTAACTATCTTATTTCCTGCGATTCAGGTGGATTTTCATGGACGAAACAAGCCAGTTCTCATAGATTTCTCGCAGGATTTGGGCAGCAAATCAACACTGGATGTGCCAGGTGCTCTTGAAATGTCTATGACGCACATGGTGGTGGGCTTATGAGATTTTTTGGGTGAGCCACTATCAAACATATGTACATATTATATAATTGATATTATACAATTGATATTATATGATATTATATGATATTATATATATATTATATATATATTACATATTACATATATTATTGTAGACTATGTGTTGGAGATGACACATCATATATCATCATATCTGACACACAGTATCTAAATTATACATCAATGTTATTTAAAAAAATACATCTTACATTGAGGAATTATATACATTTTTTAAATGATAGATGATACCCTCTGGTAATTTAACATAGCTATGGAACATCACCATTTTTAATGGGAAAATCCACTATTTCAATGGCCATTTTCAATAGCTATGTAAGAAATTACCAGAGGGTAGATTCGAGATTCGAATTTCATGGCCATAATGCCATAACAGTGGCTGTTTGAGGTAAAGATTACGCTCTCATGGCTGCCTGGGGGAGCGCACTGCTGGGCCTCCAAGACGACGACGACGGAGCCGTGACGGAGGCGGTGCGCTGGTGGTGGTGATTTCGCCCGTGTTTGGGGATTTTTTGGGCAGAAACCATGGTGATTTCACCAGCAAAAAGATGCAAAAAGGTAGGATTGAAGCAAGACAAATGGACGTTTAACACGGTGTAAGCATGAAAAATGGGAGGTTGGTTGAGGTAGAATATGATACAGAGGGATAAGACTACCTAACAAAGATGAATTTCATCAGCAAAAAAATATGTGATTTATAGATTTGTGACAGGTAAGTTGTTTTAGAAGTACATAGGCCAACTTGCCCGGATATTTAAATTGTAGTGCAGCTGCTTGGGATATGAGAAAATGTTGGGATTTGAGGCTGCAAATAAATGTTCACGCCGCGACACAACTCAAACTGTTTGCATCGAACATCGATCCCCCTTTTTTTAGGATATCGATTTTTCTCAACTCGGAGTGCTATCAATTTTTACATTGACAGTGTAAGTTTTTGAGCATCACATGTCAAACACAGCATCTATTACCCTCTGGTAATTTAACATAGCTATTGAAAATGGTGATTTGTAGTGGATTTACCCATTGAAAATGGTGATTTTCCATAGTTATGTTAGTTTACCAGAGGGTAGAAAAGGTTTGTTGGCGATACCAGGCCAGGGTTCTGTGAAAAAACGGGTGCTTCCCCCCCCAGTAAATCCGGGCCAGAGGATCCCCAAACGACAGCTTTCCCAAGGGGATCCACTATCGATCCGGGCCACGACGGGTTTTGTGATTGAATCCTCATGCCCAGTTAGAGTTGCTTCTCCCAACTCTAATCCCTTCCCCATTAAAAAAAAACACGCGAAACCCATGTTTTTTTGGTTGGGATTTCTACAGAAGCCATACTTTTTGGTGGTGTTTTTTCGGTTTTTTTTGGGGGGATAAGAAAAATCCCCTTGATCTTGATGACCAGCCGCCAGGTGAGTTTGATGTGTAACGTCTCCAAGGAAGTGGAAACTTTGAAGCCAGAGCAGCTGAAGCATTTTGAGCACTTTGCGGATGAGCCTGCCTATGCGTCTCGGCATGTCTCGGCGCATTTGCGGATCTATGGATGCATCACATATATACATAATATATACATACCATGTAAATCCATGTAATATATATATACACACACTATATATATACACTATGTATATATACATACATATATATATATATATATATACATATGTATACATGGTATATCATGTTATATAGTGTATATATGTACATAAATATGTACTGTATATATCACATGGTATTTTCTACATGTTGTCGCATACATATATATATGTATGTATACATATGCATGCATCTACAATTTGAGTGATTCGAAACTTGGACGTGCTCTAATATATTTGATTATTGTGGAACTCACCTTAGCCTTTCTATTTTAGTTGGCCACCCTCGTCTCAGTTCGATCTCACCATCGCCTTTCAAGCGGCCACTGGCCGAGGCATTTTTCTCACCATCGCCTTTCAATCTGGTCGATGTGCCCTGCCATGAAGTTGATGATCGGAGGTTTCCCTAAATAGGGGATCCCCCAAATGGATAGTTTATAATGGTAAATCCTATTGAAATGGATGATTTAGGGGTACATACCCCTATTTTAGGAAACCAACATTTATGGACCTCCTTTTTCTGTTCAGATCTTTTATCCCCTGCCAGACTTGCATCTCGGTTTTTTGTTTGGTCCGAGACGTTGGCAATTCTTGACCACAAAGCGGCATGTTCCATAGTAGTGTGAAGATGGTGCTTCACAGTAAGGGTTCGGGAGGGTAATTATGTTTTCTCCTATCCGTTTGGGGTATTTTTCTTGATTCCTCGCTTTTCTGCTTCTTCGCTTCCGTCCCTTTTTTTGTTCCCTGTTTTTTTTGATTTTTGCTTCTGTGCTTTCTGCTTCTCCTCTTTTCTTCAACTTGGAAATTGCAAAGCCCTAAACCAACCCTTAAAATCAGTGAATCAAACAGACCTAAACCAACCCTAGATAAACCTTAAACCAACCCTAAAGAAACCCTAAACCACCCGCAAATACACCCTAAACCGAGCCTAAGCCCTCAGTAATTTTCAAACCAAAACTATATAATAAACCCTAAACCAAGCAGAAATAAAACCGAATCCAACCTCAAACAAGCCCAAGTGTGGCCAAAAGCAGCAGTATTCGTAGTGGGAACTGCAAAAAAAGTTGCGTTCTGATCTATTGTGGCTAGAAATGCCAAAATTATTCAGAACCCATGATTAGATTGCAGGTTTCACTATTGTGGCAAGAATTTTGGGCAGACCATTTTTTTTGTCTAAAAATATGTTTGTGAGAAAAATCCTAACATGTTTTCTGGAAAACATATTGCTTGTGTGCCTTTCCCAAAACGATCAAATCGCTGATTAAACCCTTATATACTAAAGAACAACTTTTCCACAAATTTCCAAGGCACTGGACCATGAGAGGGCCCAATTCACTTTAGTAGGTTTGTTCTCAGGGCTCACAATTGCAGCAAACTTTTCCAGAGCTGCTCACAACTAAGATAAGGTAGTAGAGGTGATCGTTGGCGACGTGACCGGGCAACGGGTTCAGTTTTACCTTGTCCTAAGAGACAGCAGTGTCCCACACCGCCTACGATATCTCCTGCAATAAAAAGGCGCTAAAAAGACTGCATGGAAACAGGGGCATCACGATGGCAAGTAGTTGTTTTTGGCTATGCTTTGCAGAATGCCGTGTTCTGGCCAACGCACTGAAAGTAGTCATAGCTCATCTGCACGTGCTGCTACGCAGCGGCCGTGGAGTGATGGTGTTCTGAAGCTGCTGTGTGTCTGTTATATGCATCATGTTCTTTTTTTTGGATTTTGCCGGCTCTAAGTGAATGTCTCGGCTTACGGCACTTAGAACCCCGGCTCCTCTTGCTCTGTTGTTTTCAAGGCTCGGAGCATGTTCGATAGCTGTATCTTCAACAACTGTTGGTCTGACAACTGTTTGTGACATGTCAGGCACAAGCTATGTTCCTTCACCAAGTGCTGCCAGCTGGAACCGATCTATTCGAAGCACCCATGCATACTGCGAACGAATTGGAAGGTGCACCGGTCATGCCAGGGCTCGGTACCACACTGTTTGATGTGAGTGTAGAATCCGACAAAGTCGTGGCTCACTTTTTTTTGGTGAAGGATTCTCGGTGCTCCTCTTCGATCTCGACTGACGCAGAATGGTTGTCTTCTGGACCCTTTGGCAAAGATCAGCGAGTTTGAGTGGTTCCTACCTGCTTGGCTGAGCGTCTCTGGCTGTTACTTGCCTGCGTTGTCCTGTCTGGCTCGTTTCCCGCCGTCTCTGGTTTGTACCTGCTTGGTTGCGCGTTTCTGGCCGCCGCGCGTCTCCTCTTTCCTTTCCGGCTCGCCTCTCGCCGTTTCAGCGTCGTGCCTGCTTGGTTGCTGGTTCTGCGTGCTTCTGGCCTTTGCAATGACCGCGCTGTTTGTGAACCCGCAATTACAGGCAGCCAAAATTAAAAACGCGAGGACAACAGCTAGCCATGCCATCAAGCATATAACTATATACAAAAATATTTATTTATACCAGTAGTACCGCACAAGGCGGCGGCGGAAGTTTCAAAAATAGGAAACCTATAGGAGAGGTTGGTTGTTGTGAATCAGGGATGGCAGAGCGAAGCCACTGATGGACCGAAAGGTGCTTGAGGTCTCCTCTCTTTCGCTCTCTTTCTCTGACTATCTACCTACCTACCTACCTACCTATCTACGATGTATCTATCTTTCTATCTATCTATCTATCTATCGATCGATCTATCTATCTATCTATCTATCTCTCTCTCTCTCTCTTTCATCTGTCTATCTGTCTATCTATCTATCTGTCTATCTATCTATCTATCTGTCTATCTATCTATCTATCTGTCTGTCTATCTATCTATCTATCTCTCTCTCTCTCTCGCTTTCATCTGTCTAGCTGTCTACCTGTCTATCTGTCTATCTGTCTATCTGTCTATCTGTCTATCTATCTATCTATCTATCTGTCTATCTGTCTATCTGTCTACCTGTCTATCTGTGGTGCAGTGTCATTCAATGTAATGTAGTGTGGTGTAGTGGAGTGTAGTGGAATGTAGTGTAGTGTAGTGTAATGTAGTGTAGTGTTGTGTAATTTTGTGTAGTTGTAGTTGTAGTGGAGTGTAGTGTAGTGTAATGTAGTGTAGCGGAAGGTAGTGTAGTGTAGTGTAATGTAGTGTAGTGTAGTGTAATGTAGTGTAGTGTAGTGGAGTGTAGTGTAGTGTAATGTAGTGAAGTGCAGTGTAATTGAGTGTATTTGAGTGTAATTTAGTGTAGTGGAGAGTAGTGTAGTAGAATGTAGTCAAGGTGTAGTTGTAGTTGTAGTGTAGTGCAATGTATTGGAGTATAGTGTGGTGTAGTGGTGGTTGTAGTTGAAAATGCCACAAAACCCTCACGTTTTGCTCACTTTTGACAAGGTCCACAATCCCTTGCGCCTGCCACGCGAAATGACATCCGAACCTCCAAAAGTGGCGCGAACATGTGATGTTTTGCACATTTTGACTTCGAAATGTGCTTCGCGCCACAAGGGCGTGCACTTTTTCGACATCTCAACTTCCAAGAGTGGTCCGACGCTGGTGTGTTTTGTACATTTTGACTTCAAAATGTGCTTCGCACCCCAACGGCGTGCACTTTTTCAATATCTCAACTTCCAAAAGTGATCCGAGAATGGTGTGTTTTGTACATGTTGACTTCAAAATGTGCTTCGCGCCACAACGGCGTGCACTTTTTCGATATCTCAACTTCCAAAAGTGGTCCGAGCATGGTGTGGTTTGTACATTTTGACTTCAAAATGTGCTTCGCGCCACAACGGCGTGCACTTTTTCAACATCTCAACTTCCAAAAGTGGTCCGAGAATGGTGTGTTTTGTACATTTTGACTTCAAAATGTGCTTCGCGCCACAACGGCGTGCAAATTTTCATCTCTCATCTGGCCAGCTGGCTCCGCACCCGCCGCTTTAGCGAGCCTACTTTTCGACCCTCCGGAGCCACAAATCATTGGAAAACACAGTGTTCCTACCTTTTCGCGCATCTGCATCTTCTTTCTTCTGACTCTTTCTCTTCTGATCTTCTCTCTTCTAATCTTTCTCTTCTCTCTGCCTCTGCCCTGCTCTGCTTTTCATCTGTCCATATTGTCGGAAGTTTGACTTCTAAACTTCCTTCGATAAAATATAGATTTGTTGACCGTCCGTTTGATCCATGAAGCAGACGACGCCCAGGAGTGCCAAGAAGACTTCCTCCGGGTAGGGTACCACCCGACCTACCGCGGGGACAATGAGGTTTACCTCTGCCGAAACCTCAGAATCACGGCGATCAGGCCCCGGCCTGGCTCTTCTTTCCTTCAGCCTTGACCACCAAACCGCCGAACAAAACAAAGGCCCCAGCTGCGCCGTGGACCTCAACTTCCCGATCGGAAGTGAGGCTGCTGAGTCAGAGCCTTGGGGGCTAGTTGTTTGTTTGATCCGACTATCACATTCAAACAACGAAGATTCAGCAAACAAAAGCTGCGTCATGAATTATGTATGTCCCATATTGCTGCTCAAAGCAATTTTCAGGTGGTCCGACGAAGAGACGGAAGACAACAGCAGCACCACGGACGTCCGGGCCGCCGTATGCATTTAATTCTTCATATTGCAACTGGAAGCATTTGAAGCAATCTTTCCTTTTCTGGGAGAATGGGAAGTTCGGTTGTTCGCACGTCAAAAAATTAATTAACCATGTGAGCCATGACACATCGACATGCAAAAAGTGAATTCCAAGGTGCCCGCCAGCGAGGCGGAGACACTCAGTTGCGCGTCAGAGGCAGAGGCGGCGACACGACCCCAATGTTGAAAAAAAAGGGACATGGATCAAAAACACCCGCACCGCAGGACTGGCCATTTCTCCGGGGTGGATGGTCCTACGCACCAGCGGACACATGCCAGGCAACAAGACGGCTTCCCATCTCATGACATCATGAACACGTCATCAAAGAGCCTAAAATACAGAAGAAAAAAAAGACACCCAAAAAAAAGTAAATTCTGATTGAGGCCTTCGGCGGAGATCTTTCTCTGCTCGATGCCGCTGGCTCCGTCCAGATCTAAATCCGTAAGCTCTGCTACACTGCAGACCCTTGTTGTCGAATCCCTCAGCAAGCCATCAAGCCGGCGCCAAGGCTACACGGACCCAGCCACGCTCAATGATTGGTGGGCCAATGAAGCCCACCAACAATGGGCGTGGCAGTGGGACTTCTACCTGGAGGTCTAGGAAGAAACACAGAAAGGGTGGGGAAAAAAAACAGCAGCGTGCAATTCGGAAACGCCGTCTGCGTCTGCACAACCCTTTTGGTGGTCGGTCTTTGCTTGCTCGACCGTTTCAGAGCTCCCTGACCAGAAAATATCTATTCTCGCAGCGCTGTCTTTCAGCTCTTGCAAGTCGGACATCAGTGGATTTGGGAAACAACACCCTTTTCTTGGTGAATGATTCATGAGTTTTTGACCAGGAACGAAGCAGCTATATACTAGTTATACTTCCCATCAGATATGTCAGCGACAAGGAAGAAAAACTTAGAATCCTTGACCCAATGCACTTTTCGAAATCAATAGAGACTTCGTCTTCAACATACAGCATGAAGCTAGCAAGGACAACAGCACCAAAGCAGCCTAAAGGAATCTCAAGCAAAGCAAGCGGACAAGAAGCAGGGTAGAATCCATAGGATAAAAGGGCGTCGCTGTCACGGCTTTCCCGCACTTCTGCCAGCCTCGAACTGCTCTTCATCCCTGGCCAGGACGGACCTGTGCTTACGCCTCGACATCTCGATATCAGTATAGATGTACCACTGCTACCTTAGCAATATTATTTCAGGGGGGGTTACATACCAAAATAATTTTACCAAAATAATTTTGGATATTTAGCGATTTCCAAGAGGTTCAAGGTAGGGTCAAGTTGCACCAAAATATTTTTTCACTGGAAATTATTTCAACGGGGTCAGACCCCGGTGAAATAATTTTCAGCGTGTAGGTGGAAATTATTTTGAAATAATTTTTCGGGATATTCCATCCCTTTAAAAAATACACGGGGATATCAACCAGGTTCTGGAATAAGAAGAAATTTTGTTGAATAATTTTCCTAAGGGGTGGGTCTACGGATGTGCATGTTGGAATATGCGAGTCATAATCTAACCCGTCAATATAGTTTTGAAATAAATTCGTATATATATATATAAACTTCAAGTGGTAAGAAAAAAACACCTATAAGACCTTCTCCCCTTGGGAATTCCCGCAGAATGGTGTTCAATAATTATCTTCAACATTGATTTTTTCCTACATATTTCCAATTTTTTCATACTTCTCCCTATTTCTCCCATATTCCTTTCATGTCTTGTCAAAAAAGAACGGTGGCAATGAGTGGTAAGCATTCGGTTTTTATAGGTTTTTGATTTTTTGAGTTTTTGCCCAGCCTCTGGGCGAGTTGGGTCGTTCTGGCAGCTGTTTTTTGAGAAGGTGCAGGGCATCTCCAATACCCCTAAAATAATTTCTCCCCTTGAGAAATCCCACAAAATAATATTCAACCTGGCTCTTTCCTGTAGTGGTTTTCCGAACCTTTCATATTTTCCCTTATTTCGCCATATGTCGCCCATATTCCTTTCATTTGCCTCCAAAGAACCCTCGATGGTAAGCATTCGGTCTTTATATGTTTTTGAATTTGTTTCCAGCTTCTGGGCAAGTTGGATGGTCCTGGCAGCTGCCCACTTTGATTTTTGAGGAGCGCGGGGCATCTCCAATACCCCTAAAATAATTTCTCAAAGAACGTTTTTTGGTTGCGGGTTGCAAACTTTGATGCGTTCTTGGTGCAATTTAAACTGAAGGGAGATTATGGGATGACTAGGAGGAAGCACACATGAAACATGATGTTTGAATTTATTTGCGCTTCCGGATTTGCAACGCATCGATCCTAAAAAACGACAAGACATACCTAAATAATAGTAAAACGCCTTTGCAAAGCCAACATTGTGCAGGATTTCCTGATAATGTACTTTGTGATTTTCTTCAATTCTGTTTCGGTAGGCTACGCAATGCTACGCATTCCCTTTTGTCGCTAGATTTTTTGATAGGGGTATCCTTCTGTTATTCTGAGATTTCTGATGCATATTGATGGGGCATTCTCTGAAGGCATCCCTCATATTTCAAAACATGTTTTAAACGTTGAGTTGGAGTGGAAGGGGGGGTGGAGAAGACTTGTCGTTGAAGCTTGACATGTGGCACCCCCTGCAAAATAATTATGTGAAAGGGGGTCAAAATAATTTTGAAGTAATATCATTGTAGGGAACCCCTGGGGAAAGACATTTTGAAGGGGGGTGTGTTAATGGAAATTATTTCCAGGTGTTCATAGCTTAAGCCGATGAATCGAATAAGGGTCAAGCCCCGTTGAAATGTTTTATTATTTTAAGGGGAGGGGGAGAGGGGGGGTAGCTAAGGTAGGGGTGATATAGATGTTTTGTGACCCATCTCCGATCACAAAGAAAAAAACAGAGAGAGAGAGAGATGACTGCAATGCACAAGCAGGCTCAAAGTGTTGTTCTGGAGTTCTGCATTTTCTTTTGCTCTGCATTTTCTTTTGCTTGTTTGTATTGAGGCGCCACTCTTCCGTGATGTGAGCCCCATTCCGAAGCCACATGAGCTTCTGATGCCATGCAACAGCCACTCACAGCCAACAGGAGCAGAAAAAGGCGTTGGTTTTCGGAGAGTACATGACCATTGGTTCATTTTCAGTCAGCCAAAAGAGAAAAGTCGGAATTAGCGCATCGTGTTCAATCACTGCGTATAAAAAAATAAGAAATCACATACTAGACTCCGCAGCGCATCTTTTGAAGTCTCAAGACAATAAGTTTAATTGCACACACACGGTTCTTGGTTGTTCAAAGCTGGGCGCTTGACCTGTCAACCTCGGGAGAAAAGCACGCAAGCACACGCGCAAACACACTTGAATAATTCATTGATCAGTGTCCGATCAAGGCTCATGACCATCGCTGCGTCCGAGCCTGAGATATATCAGCTTTGCAGCTCTGCGGCCTCTTCGGTCGATCCGCCCGCTTAGGCTACGACAGAAGCTCAGACTTTTCGCTTTCCTTGTATGCATCCGCTGGGCGTAAGGACCTTGGCTGTTTTTTCTGGACCCAGCCAAAGTCAATTGAACATTTTTTCACCTCGCGTGCAGAAGGTACTGCAAGAAGCTGATTCACGCCACGAACATGCTCAGCGGAAACACATACAGCGTGTTTCGAGGCAGGTGGCGATATGGGAACACACATGTGTAGTCAAAATCAGAAAGGTCTCTACGCTGAAATTTAACATTGGTGCAATTGGCTTTCCTGAGCCCCGGGCTCTTTGGACACGTCTCTGTCGTCGACAGGATCCCTGGGCATTGATGCAGCGATTTGCAAGCACTTCAACGCCAAGGCCGGGAAGAATTTCGGAGATCATGTCAGAATCAAGACCCACTAAATGAGACATGACACAGGAGAACTTGTTGTGCATGAAGGAAGGCCTTATCCAAAAGCAACAGCTTTCTCTTTCTCTTCTTCTTTCTCTTGTTCTCTCTCTTTCTCTATATCTGTCTCTTTCTCTTTCTCTTCTTCTTTCTCTTGTTCTTTCTCTTTCTCTTTATCTGTCTCTTTCTCTTTCTCTTCCTTTTTCTCTTCCTCTTTATCTTTCTCTTTCTCTTTCTCTATCAATTTTTCTGATTCTTTTTCTCTCGCTCTTTCTCATATTACACCTTTAATAAACAACTGAGGTGCAAAAGGTAACGCAATCAACAGGCTGAACCCCACTCACTACAGGTACTAAAAGTACTACAAGTACTACAACAAAACAAAAGTTTCAATTGTCGCCAATTGACATCCTTACTTAAATGTATGATTGTATCCTGTCTGGGGAACAGCTTTAAAAACTCAATCTTATAGAGGGTATAGCATTTGTTTGGGGGGGGGTACACACAAACCAAGACGTAACAGTAGCAGCGTAAGGAGTCGAAGACATGGCCGTTGCGCGACATTTCCTGCAGAATCCTAGCCTCAAAACAGAAACAAAATCCCCAAACAGAATAGAACATCATTCCGCAAAGAATTTGGCACCCGAAGGGTTCTCAAAAGAATGCACAATCGATTCCTTTATTAAACTTTATTCATTGGAATTTCCCACGGATTTTTTCTTGGATGACCATTGAAAAACCACAAAAACCTCAGTCTTTCCAGGGGTTGTAGTGGAAGTGATGAAGACCCAGAGCAGGATTTCCCCTGGTACCCGGCCATTGCTATTTATCTATATAAGATTCGCCATGAAATGCCATAAAGTGATGGAATCAATCCATATATTGTCGACTTCTCATATTATCATTACCTATAATCCCATATTATCTCCATCATATACCCTGCTTGACACCCCAATTTGTTGGTGAATTCATGGATTCAATCCTAAAATGGTCATATTTGTTTCGAGGTCTCGAGGGAAGCAGAAGTGAAGGCGTTTCAGAAATATCCCGAGTTGGGTGCCTGGCTTTGGCGTGTTCCGGAGCCCAAAGACGGCCCCTTGGGCTGGTTGAATCCGGGCTTGGGAGTTGGGTCAAAAAAGGAGATCCAGAAAAACAAACAGAACATGTCGAGTCGATTTTAGTAGCATCTCATTCTTGGGGTATCCAATTTTGACCACCCATTTATATATTGGGAGATGTATGGAACTCATGGATTTTGTATGATTTAGTGGAATATTAAACTCCAGTAAACTAATATACAGTATGGAAAACCCCGGAATTGTGTAGGTTTTCATGGGCCATTTTCAATAGCTATGTTAAATTACCAGAGGGCCCCGCTGTTCGATGCGAACTTTCTTGCTCCATTAGGGAATGGGGGAATGATCCACAACCACTATGACTATGAGCATCCCGGCATCCCCCATCCCCTACGTTTAACACCAGTAAGATGATGGTTTGAATGTTCATCTTTAGGAAACAACTGGTGGGGGTTTGATGGTCGCTGCCAGGCAACATCTACGCCGATCTTCTCCGAAAGCACGGCATAAACCAGGTAGGTCGACAAGGGGTGGGGAGGTATGATGGGTGTTGCAAGGCGCTGAGGTTTGTGAAGCATCAGGAGCCCAGGTTGCCCAGGAAGACCCAGGAATATTTCAGGTTTTTGCATTTGATATCTCCTGCATACCCACAGGATATTGACCCTTTTTCAGCCGCAGCTTGCAGCGCTTCAACAAAACAGTGCCGAATCTGGGTTTGGGTCAAAATTGTGTACCTCAAAATTGGATGCTTAACACAGGACAGGTCAAAAATGGTGCTTCCCTGGGAAAAACAATGGCCCAGCCCCACTTTTTACGGTCGGTGTTCATTTGCTGAAAATAGGGTACCCCGCGAATTTCATACTTGAGAAGATCATTTTCCCCATTGGTCCTAGCAATAAATGTTAGGTGTTCTACATTGATAAGCACAAACCCATATCATTCATATCATTATATATTGGTGTGATTTTTGATTAAATCTGCATTGGGTCGGAGGAAGGGTGTTTCACCGATTTCCAGATCTCCAGATCTCGAAGATCCCCATCGCAGGCGTCGCTGCCATTCCGCACCGGCGCCATAGTGCTGTGCATCTTGTACAGCTTGGGCCGCAATGGTGGTTGGACCTCTGGAGCCAAAGAGCTTGAAGTCTATGAGGCGAAGCTGGAAGGGAACGGTAACAGCAAATCTGGGGAAAAAACGATGAACAGGTTGTATTTATCATTCTTGATCAACAATTTTTGGAGACATATGAAATCAGGGGGTTAATCGAAAAAATGCTGGTTAGACGACGAAAAAAAATGCGATTCCTTAGCAACAAACATTGGGATTTCACCAACTGAAATGCTGGCTTGGTGGATTTACTTATGAAAATGAAGGTTCAACCACTAATCAATGGCAAGATTCCTGGGCCAGGTGGGAGGCGGCTACGGCTCCCTGGTGTCCATGGCTGGGCGAGCGCGGCGGCCCCATCGCGGACGCTCGGCTGGCTGCTTGCAATGAGGATGATGATGGTTCCAACATGTTCGAACCGACTATTTTTTTTTACTGATTGGTGGTTTGGAGCATTTTTTATTTTTCCATATATTGGGAATAATCATCCCAAGTGACTAATATTTTTCAGAGGGGTTGAAACCACCAACCAGTTTATATGGGGGATATGGGGGTTGGAACCACGGGCCAGTGTGAGTAATTGGTTCTAAAAAGCACCACTTTTTGCCAAAGCTGCAGTGAAGCGATGCAAACTTCAGTTGCAAATTGCTCCACTACACATCAGCTTGTGGGTACTGATTCCATGGTGTGGTATGGCATGGATGGTAATATTCCGGGTTGTGCCACTTGCGGGGAAAACAGTGTTTTTTTGGGTGACTTAAACCTGTCAAAGTTGAAGTGGCATTACTTAAAACTCTACCGCAAGCTGGGACAAAGCATTCTTGTCTAATCCTGCACAGCCAAATATGTTGTAATGACTTGCCTGGGATGTGATTTCGGAGGTATCTTCTACCTGCCATGACTTCCCCAATGTTGCATGTTGCGAACAACAAAACGCACCCAACAAAACACACTGCTTCGTCCATCCATTTAGATAGATGACCAGTTGTTTAAAAAAAAATGGAATGGAACATCCAATAATCACTGGTTGGTGGTTTGGAACATTTTTTATTTTCCATAATATATGGGATAATCCTTCCCATTGACTTTCATACTTTTCAAGATGGTTATTGCACCACCAAGCAGATCAACTTCATGGCTGTCTCTAGCCCTGGCTTGTTTTGGTTCTGCAGTTGGGGTCATGGCTCAGGAGACGTGTCGCACATGGGGTTTCAAAGCTGGAACATTTTCGATTTGGAGCACGTGAGTGCTCTACAGGCGCTTGGGCGTGGTGGGGATGACCTGCCGCTTTCACTGCACCGAGATCGCTATGGTGTCCTCAAATTGAGGGAAATGGCATTTTTTGAAGCCCTGGTAGCTCGGGCAATCGGGAGTGAGATCGCTTGGAACTCCCATCCAAAAAGGTTGCTGGGGAATGGTCCCATGTTTCAGCTGGCTTGACCCAGGGCTGGTACCTCTCCAAGACGCTCCCAAAGAACTTTGAGTTGGAGCGTGTCTTGTTGGTCGAGCGGCCCCAGAATTGGATGGTTTACAACCTGAAAAGGATCCCTAAAAAATGGCCATACCAACCATGTGTTTACGGGATGATCAAACCCATGGCAAGGGCACCTGCTCCCTGATTTAAGCGGGATTTCACCAGATCTCCAAATATCAGATTCGTAGGAAAGCGAACGAAGTCCAAGGTTTATATCATCTCGAAGCCTGCCTGCACCTTTGATGTTTGAATCTAGAGGGAGCTGCCAAAAGAATGGCCAATATAACTATATATTATATCCTTTTTACATAGCGCTGGTACACTTGGAATTGTGGTACACATATCATCTAAACATCCGGGATTGAACAAAATCATGGAGGTTACCTTTTATGAGATTTCAATTCGGCTCCAGGCTACACAAGCGAACATTGACCCTCAAAAAGTTGATTTGATTTGATGAACAGCGGCCTGGGTGTCCTATTTGTTGAGTCCATTTTTTACTGGAGATGATCCCAGAATTGACCAATGATGAACGTTTGGACATATTGATGAAAATAATCAAGATGCTGATAACCCACATGAAGATAATCATTTGACCATTAAATGAACATTGGCAAATGACAGATAATTCATATGCTTTGAGTGTGTGACGCTATTTGGGCATGTGTTTTCAGCGTTCATTATGAATTCGGTAGTCATCTAAGATATCCCCCCATGCGAACAACTTCGAACCGTTGAGGTTTCTGTGCCCGCGGTCTCCGAAGGAAGATTGTAGGCCAGGTGTCCTGGGGAAAATGGGGGAACATGTGCTGGAACCATATGTTCCGTTCTCACAAAGGGGTCGAAAATGGACATATCCCAACGACTGGGATGGCTGCAGCTTGAACTGCTTGGTTCATGGGATCCAAATGCTGCAACCTGCAAGGAGAACTCCAGAAAACTCGTTTTGGCCACTTTCAGGAAACTGTATTTGATGTGTTTGTTAGGGTACCTTTTTTCAGCGGCAGAGACCAGAGATTTTGGTGTCCAAATTAGCAAGTCATGCCAGGTTCGCTTGCGACAGCCGAGACGCTTGGCCACAAATTGGCCAGGATTTGGTCGAGCTTTCCAGCAAGATTCGTCCACAGTGGTAACCCCTGAAAAGATAGAAATGTGATTTAAATTCATTTATATACCACTATGACTATGTTAGTAGGATTTTATGTGTATATCTTTTTTAGGGTGCTTTAATCCACCAAATGGATGATTAAATACACAAAATGACCAATGTTGTGGCATTCTTGTGGCTTCAAAGGGGGCCGACAATTTTGACAAATACCCAGCCGACATGATGATATGCTCGGACCTGTTTGCTTGAAACAGTTGTTCTGGTGGTAAGTGGTAAGACATTATCAACTGATATATGAATCCGCGTAGCCTTGTTGCAGAGCAGATCAACTTGGAAGAGGGTTCCTGTGCGTCAGTTGGTCGTGTTACTGTCGATCATGTGACAGTCATGTCATGATGGCTCGAATCGATTCGAACCGTGAGTTTTTCAGCAGTTTTCGTAGTGCCAAGAGTCGGGAAAACTCCTGTAATGGTTTGGGGATTTTGAAATTGAAAGCCGTTTGATCACAGCACTGGCCAGTGGCCACAAGTGGTCATCTTGAGCCAGATGACTTCCATGGTCAGACGTCCCGTGAAGATCCAGCATGTTGGAGACTTCAAAAAATATTGTAACTTACGCATTAAATCGTATTAATGTTAGGAAAGTTCCATGATGTGTATATTTATCTATATGTATACATATATATATATATAATCTCGTATACATTTACATAAACATACATATACGTATACATACATATACCCCTATACGTATACATAAATATACGTATACATAAATATACGTATACATAATATACATACAAATATAGATATAAATATATTGTTTACATATTCACATACATACACATGAAATTAATACATATGTATATATGGTCTCGTGTTCCGTGTTCCTACCCCCCCCATGGTTTGGGTCCCCGGGTAGCACCTTCTATTTGCAAGCTATTGGCAGCATTTCTGAGGTCCAACCTCGTATTTGCTAGGTCTTTGCAGCATTTCTGACTACCAGCCTCGCATGTACTAGGTACATGCTACCTTTTAGGCGACCTACGTAGCACACATACTCCCTCAAAGTACCTACTGTACGTGCTATCTATAGTCATATATACATACCGATATATCTACGTATCTTAAAGTCCAGCGTTCCGGAATACACACCTACCGTACATACCAAACTATACCATGCCTACCGTACCTAGCATACATACCTGTAGACCATGCCTACCATACCTACCACACATACCAAACATACCATACCAACCACAAATGCCATACATACCATGCCTACAAAACATACCAGACCTACCATACCAACCTTGGAATGTATTATGGTATGTGTGGCATGTGTAGGGTCGGTATGTAGACCAGAGTAAGGCACGTATGGTTGGTATGGTATGTATGGTAGGTTTGGAAGGTTTTGGAATGTATGGTTCGTATGGTAGGTATGGTATGTATGGTATGTATGGCATGTAATGGTTGGTATTGTCTGTGTTGTAAGTGTGGTATGTATGGTAGGTATGCTATGTATGCTATGGAAACCATACCTATCATACCTATCATACATACCACACATACCATACATATGAAACATAATTACAACACCTACCATACATAAAATACCAAACATACATACCATACATACCATGCATACCATACCTACCTTAGATAACAAACATTCCATACCCATCAAAGTAACCATACATACCGTACAGACCATACATACAGTCATATCAAACATACCATACCCAACAGACTTACATACCATACCTACCATCCATACAATACCAACCATTCATGCCATACATACCATACCTACCATACATACCAAACACGCGATACATTCCAAACATGTCATACCAGACCGACCATACACACCATACATACTGTCATATTAAACATACCATACCCAACAGACTTACATACCATACCATCCATACAATACCAACCATACATGCCATACATACCATACCTGCACCAAACATACGATACATTCCAAACCCGACCATGCACACCATACATACTGTCATATCAAACATACCATACCCAACATATTTACATACCATACCATCCGTACAATACCAACCATACATGCCATACATTCCATACCTGCCATACATACCAAACATACGATACATTCCAAACCCGACCATGCACACCATACATACTGTCATATCAAACATACCATACCCAACATATTTACATACCATACCATCCGTACAATACCAACCATACATGCCATACATTCCATACCTGCCATACATACCAAACATACGATACATTCCAAACATGTCATACCAGACCGACAATACACACCATACATACTGTCATATAAAACATACCATACCCAACATATTTACATACCATACCATCCATACAATACCAACCATACATGCCATACATTCCAAACATACCATACATTCTGTCAAACATACCATACCCAACATATTTACATACCATACCATCCATACAATACCAACCATACATGCCATACATTCCAAACATACCATACATTCCAAACATACCATACGCACCATACCATGGGAGGAGAATTTTCTTCGTCCGAGGACATGGCAGTTGCCGACGTCAACGCGGTCCGTGGTGCGCTTGATCGCTACAAAGGTGAAGGACGGTGTTCGGTGCCACAGCGACCATAGATGGTGTTCGGATGCGACCATAGGAGATGTGAAAAAACCTATAGGAGATGTATAGATTATATGTTATAATGGTTAATGAATGGATGAAAATCTATGGTTAATCTATGGTTATAACCATAGATTATTCGATCGATTGATAGATGATGAATGATGATTCATAAATATTTATAATAAATAATGATAGATTATTCGATCTATTCAATCCTGAATGATGAATGATGGTCATCTTGTACATCTTTGGCTGTCACCGGGTGTCACCGGGCCTGCCCGGCGAAGGTCTACATATGGTAAGTTTGCAAACCTTAAGGGTCACATAAATGTACAACAATGGACATATGCACATCACATCTACATATATATATAATATATATATATAGAAGGAGAGAGAGAGAGAGAGAGAGAAAGAGAGACATATGTAGTTAGAGATATCCATCCATCCATCCATCCATCCATCCATCCATCCATCCATCCATCCATCCATCCATCCATATAGACATACCATTGACATCTACATCTACATTTCCATGTACGTTCCACGTACGTTGTTTGGCAGTCCGATCGTAGCAGCTCCAAGTGTGGCAGGATCTGTGGCTATTCAGCCATCGTTCAACGCAAAGTGGAGCGCGCGTCCGTGCTGCTGGGACGTTACATACCCCGGTTGATACTAAGTGGTTTTTCTTAGCCCCTGGGATGTTGATTTACCAGTCATAATGGGTAATAAACAGAGATTATACCAAGTGGTTTATAACCCATTTCATTCTTAAGCCATAGGGATATCCATTTACCAGTAGAATGCAACGGGATCGGAGTATCTTCGTAGATTTACCTCGTCTTATGGCCATCTTTCCGATATCAAAACATGATACCCTTTCATCAATCCATCAACCCCATAAAATGCTTGTTGGAAACCTTTAGAATGATGCGCATGTGCCGCATGCGGGGTATGATCTCCCACATCATGGAGATCATCAAGCTATCGTTGATTCTCTTTACTCATCATCGAACATGGAACCTCAAGAAGGGGCCATATCCAGAAACAAAATCACCTTGGTTATTCTTACTTAGTTACATATTGAATTTAGGGGTAAATCCTCCGGTCATCTAAGCCTGCAATAAAGCGTCCATCCCCCATTCATACCAAACTATAGATTATTTTCCCATTTAGGGGTTGCATCTCCTATCATTATATAAATAACCCTAAAGATATTTCGTTCATATCATGAACCCCACAAACAATGATGGCCCCTTGTCAGTTCTATCCATTGATATTCCAAATCACTATATAGAGTTACAACTACCGCTACTACGTAGGGTTAAGTAGGGTTACACGCCGACGATGGCTCTTGGCGGGCCCAGGATTGAACTATCATTGTATAATCCCATAGAATTATTGTTATCGAATCCCATTGAATCCCATAGAATCCCACAGAAACGCAACACCCGAAATGGTACAAAACGCTTCCATCCACTTCTAAAATGGAAAGCTAAATCCAACCCTTTCAGAATTTTTTTGGGGACTGCCGGACCCTCCCCAAAATGAACACAGACACTGAAAATAGCCAATCTTGAGTGGAAACTAATCTTCCACCCCCTAAGTGGCAGGATCTATGTTAATTGGAGGGACGGTGCCATCTGGTTATTTAACAGTTTGCCATGGAAAATCACAATTTTTAAGAACGGTAAACCATCTATTTCTATGGGCCATCTATACCATGGCTATGTTAGTCATAACCAGAGGGTAAATCCCACTACAAATTCACCAAAAACGATCCGTAGAAAAGCAGCAGGTGATGCTGGCCTCCTTTAGCTGGAGCGAATGCGAGATGGAAGAGTTCCTGTGGCACCTGGAATGAACAGAAGATCTGGGCACCAAAAAGATCGGTGGGTGATGGGTGAAGATGGATACATGTGTTTTTTTTTGTGTTTAGGCACACAATTTTTCGATGCGCTGTTTTAGATATAGATATGTTATATATAGATATAGATAGATTTTGACAGATTCATGAGTAATGTACAGATATTCTATGATACACGGGTTGATACAAAGAATTGGATGAGTCAATCTTGCAGAGGCTGGAGCCAACAACGAATGGTGACTAGTTGGAAAGAGGATGCGTTCACAAGGAGTTGGGGATCCCCTATTTGTAGACTCAACCCAAATATCCTTTGATTATCAGACTCCACCATCTTTATCCATGGAAATGTCGATGCATGGACTCCTGGACCATCCTAGTTACCTTGACACATTTGATGACATGACAGTGATTGTTTGGGACCCTGTTCCCTGGTGCCACTGGCCAGGATAGCTACCAATGTAGACTTAGGTTGATAGCGTTGTCTAGACACGTGCCATCACGTGCCCAGGTATTTCAACCACATCTTACCACTCTGCGAGTATCTGATTTTTGGCTACAGCATTGCCATACCATGGGAAGATTCCAAGATCAAATATGAATTGATCACGCAACACATGGTTCCCCTGGAACAATATGATCTGAGCGATGCAGATAAAATCATATTATTCAGAAAAAAATATAAAATAAATATAAAATACTAACTTATATTATTTAAACTTAAGATAAAACCAATACTGTAAATAAGGATAGATATTGAAATTGGAAATGCCATTTTTTTTTACGTCGTGGATGTTATGGTTATTGTATTCTCGTGATAATTTCCATTTTAGAATTGGTGAATCTGTGGATAGCTTAAACATAATTTTAATATATTGGAATTTTTAAAATTGAGTTAGGCTAATTTATTTTATGTTGGGGGGGTGGGCTAAATAATTATAAAGGAAAATCCTGAATAATTTTAACATGTTAAAAATTTTATTTTTATTTTATTGTAAAAAAATGTTTATTTGGAATATTTTATTATAAAATGGAATTAGTGTTTTTTTTTCCTGGAATTTTTTTATATTGATTTTATTGGATATATATTAATGAATTTTAAGGAATTTAAAGGAATTATAAGGAAAATTAAGGAATTTAGAGAATTTTAAAAAATTTAAAAGAAATATAGAGAAATTTTAAGGAATTTGATGGAATTTAAAGAAATTCGGAGAATTTTTAATTTTTTTTTGAATAAATCCTAATACCTATAATAATTAAAAAACAAATTTTCTTTATAAGTTGAGGAAACTATTTTTTATCGCTCCCTCCGTGATACTTTTTGTGCTCTAGTTCGTGCTTTTTTTTCGCTCCCTCCGTGTTACTTTTCGTGCTTTAGTTCGTGTTTTTTTTTCGCACTTTCCGTGATACATTTCGTGTTCTAGTTCGTGCTTTTTTTTTTCGCTTGCTTATGATACTTTTCGTGCTCTAGTTCGTGGGTTTTTTTTCGCTCCCTCCGTGATACTTTTCGTGCTTTAGTTCGTGCTTTTTTTTTCCCTCCCTCCGTGACACTTTTCGTGCTCTAGTTCGTGTTTTTTTTTCGCTCCCTTCGTGACATTTTTCGTACTCTAGTTCGTGCTTTTTTTTCGCTCCCTCCGTGATACTTTTCGTGCTTTAGTTCGTGCCTTTTTTTTCGCTCCGTCCGTGATATTTTTCGTGCTCTAGTTCGTGCTTTTTTTTGCTCCCTCTGTGACACTTTTCGTGCTCTAGTTCGTGCTTTTTTTTGCTCCCTCCATGACACTTTTCGTGCTCTAGTTCGTGCTTTTTTTTTCGCTCCCTCCGTGACATTTTTCGTGCTCTAGTTCGTGCTTTTTTTCGCTCCCTCCGTGACACTTTTCGTGCTCTAGTTCGTGCTTTTTTTTCGCTCCCTCCGTGACACTTTTCGTGCTCTAGTTCGTGCTTTTTTTTTCGCTCCCTCCGTGACACTTTTCGTGCTCTAGTTCGTGCTTTTTTTTCGCTCCCTCCGTGACACTTTTCGTGCTCTAGTTCGTGCTTTTTTTTCGCTCCCTCCGTGACACTTTTCGTGCTCTGTTTCGTGCTTACTGTTATAGCAATTAGGATTCAGCCAACTTATCTACCATGTAAAATCATTATTTTTACCATTTAATATCATGTCTAACTATTGTGGTAAATATATCTACCATTATTTACAATTTCTGGTTGGTGGTTTGGAACATTTTTATTATCCAGAATATATCGTATGTCATCCTTCCCATTGACTTTCATATTTTTCAGAGGGGTGGGTATACCACTAACCAGATTTATTTACCACGTAATGTCATGTCTAAAAAAAAATATGTGGTAACTAAACGGTAAATATATCTATATCACTGCTACCTTAGCTAATAAACGGTAAACATATCTATCACTGCTGTCTTATCTTTATCTATATACCATTATTTACCATTTATTTACCATTTATTTACCATATTTACCGATGGTATCTGCTTTGAACACGTCCCTATATAGCGCGCATCCGGCCTGGCGCGCCAGGTGCCACTGTCCAAGGATGAAGCCTTGGCGGCGGTGCAGCGCAGCAAAGTGCTGAAGGGTCTCTCCATCCATGGCCAGGTCAGGGATGGTTCTGCAGTGATTTTGAGTGATGTTGTGTGGTGATTTTTTTGGGTGTTTTATGGTGATTAAAAGGGGGATTCTAAAGTGATTAAATGGGATTTTAAAGTGATTCAATGGGTTTTATATGTTTTTATAGTGATTTATAGTGAAACGCAGTGATTTCAGAGAGTTTCTAGTGATTTATAATGAATTTGTAGTGATTCAATGAGGTTTTATAGTCATCTAATGGGTTAGTGATTTAATGGGGTTTTATCAGTTTATAGTAATTTACAGTGAATTTGTTATAGTGAATCTGTAGTGATTTAACAGGGTTTTATTAGATTGTTTTATAACGTGATCTATCGAGATGTTTAATGATTTTAGTTGGATGGGGGAAGCGTTGGGGATGTAAACCCAGAAAATTGTGATTTCACCGGCAAACATGTTGGATATGAATGACGACATGTGTGATTTGAGAAACCGAAATAGAGATTTGACCAACAAAGAGTTTGGAATGTGTGAAAAACTATGGGTAAAAAATCCAGTGAAGAGTATACAGTTATGGCATGTTATGGCCCTTAACAGTTATAATTATAGTGGTATACAATTTTAATTATAGGAATTGTTTCATTCCATTTAAGGCCCTGGTAAGGGCCTTAACTGTAGGTTGATGCTTGGCAGCTTGGAGAGTTGCAGGTCCGAGTGGCTGCCCTCTTGCGCCGCACTTGCTACCAGCCGGGTGAACGCTTGTGGTCAGCACAGGAGGGAGAGGCCGGTTCCGTGCCTTTTTTGGGGGGGAGTGGTTGCTGTGATACATATGGGGGTGTCCATAGTCATGGGGGTATCCGCATAGCTGGATGGGCCCATAGGAAGTCAGTCAAATATATACAACATGGTACTTTCAGATGATGCCATCGTTTCTTTTTTTGAACGTTTTTGATGTAGATTCTTGGATGAATAGCCAGGTACCTGGGCAGGATGTTATGTTTACTGTAAACATTGGTTGACGTTGAGCAGGTTGTAGTGAATCATTCTTTGCGTGCTACAAGCGAGGGAATACAATCTTAAGCGAGAGAAGCACCTACCCGTGAAATCATCAAGTTATTAAAAATTGATCCCCAAACTGTCATTTTTTGGGATGCAAGAGTAGCACAACAAAAAGACGCATCCATTTTTTGCTAAGTGTTGGTACATCACGAAAGGTAGCCGAGACTACCTGAGCTCCACCGACTTTACTCAGTACTCAAGTTGTGTCCTGGGGGTTTGGTTCACTGAATTCCAGCCCAAAAATAAATCCAAAAAGAAACGCCAGCGAACTCCCCAGACTTCCCTATGACTTTAAGTCCCCAAACTCAAAAGCTCCCAAGATTATCCAATATATATCCAATCTTATCCAACATTAAGTGGCATTATAACTGGCATTATAACCTCTACAACTTACTGCTGCTTAGTAGGGAATGGATGGGTTGCTGGGGGTTGCTGGGGGTTGCTGGGATGATTATTACGAGTGAGCCAATGGAGCATTCCCGAAAATTCCGTGCATTTAGCATCAGTAAGACAAGTTGGTGGGTTTGGAACATTTTTTTTATTTTTCCATATATTGGGAATGTCATCATCCCAACTGACTTTCACTCCATCATTTTTCAGAGGGGTAGGTGAAAACCTCCAACCAGAGTGGCATTATAACCCCTACAGTTATGGCCCTTTACCAGTTATAAGTACTTATAACCCCATGCATAAAATGTATAATCCCACTTATAACCAGTTGTAATCAATAAATGGCCATAACTGTATGATTATCATATGATATTAGGATATATCTGGATATGATCTTCGGTTGACTTCTCCGAAACAGCCAGTATATTATAGTGGATTGTGGAAATCCCTACCAATATAAGCCCTACAAAGACTTAAATCCCATTAAATCACTATTAAATCACAATAAAATCCCATTAAATCACTATAAAATTCCATTAAACCACTATAAAATCCCATTAAATCACTATAAAATCCCACTAAATCCACTATAAAATCCCATTAAATCACTATAAAATTCCACTAAATCCACTGTTAAAGGCACCCTTCCAGGCCATTCCACGTCAGGTGCAGGAGAAACGTCTGGTGCTCATCGAGCGCGGCGACGCCGAGCTGTGGCTCCCGGAGGCCGATGGCGAGCGCTTCGTGGGACTCATTGGACCCACCAAGGCGCCGGAAGCGAGAGAAAAATGGTGTGGTTTTCATAGGGAGATCCCCAAGAGATGGATGGTTTACCATGGAAAATCTGAAAATCCAAATGGATGATGTGGGGGTACCATGGGGTACCCTCATTTCAGGGTCTACCCTCTGGATCCCTCTGGTAAACATACAGCTTGCGAACTGAAAAATCACCATCTAAAAAAGGTAAATCAATTATTTTTATGGGCCATCAAAAAATAGCTATGTAAAAAAAATACTGGGGTCTATGTTCACTGGCTATATCTGCCATGGGCACTGGCAGACTTCCTGGCTTTTGTCACAGGTGCTGGGTGGTCTCTTTGCAGTTGGCTCCGCCAGTAGGCGCTGGGGGCGGAGGTGAGAAATCATGGAGATCTGGAATAAAAGCTAGGCCCTGAGATTCAGCTGGATATCTGGATATTTGCAAGAATTCTATGTTTATTTAGGGGCGTCGCAGCAATCGTCTTAATGATGGCATCAACAGCCAGATATTTTTGATTACTTTGCTCAGGATTTCACTAAGAGTCGCCATTTCAAAGTTTGAGTAATTATGGATAGTTCGTTTTGGACCTGGTCCAACCAACATTTTACACCATGTGGAGTCCGAGGCAAGTCTTCTCGGCGCGGGTGCCGGAAGGCGACGACGCCAAGCCGCTGCATGCCTGGGAGATTGAGGGCCACTCGGTTCTGACGGTAGACTTCACTGGCCAGATGGAGAATCAGTGATGATACCCTCTGGTAAACAAACATAGCTATTGAAAATGTACATTTATAGTTGATTTACCCATAAAACATGGCGTTTTTTCCATAGTTATGTAAACGTTTACCAGAGGGTAGTGACTAATAGTGGTCAAAATCCACAACTTTCAGCAAACACAAGATATCTCTGATAGCAGTTAATCAGAGATGGCCAACCACCACAAACATTTAAAACCATGATGATCATATAGAAAGTGGACAGCACTTCTAAGAACCAACATGAAGCGACAATGGCGCATCTTACCGACATAACATGTCATGAATCGTGCTAAATTACCTCACTGATTCTGGAAACATAGTCAGTAGTTATAGTAGGGTTTAAATATACCATTTTAACATCAAACAAATAACAGTGTTACCATTTTCATATATCTATCAGGTATTTTCATATAGTATGGGCTTATTATACCATTCTCATTAAATCAATGGGAATTCCAGGCTCCTAAAATGGAGGTACTGTACCATATAAGGCCATATTTTGCTGGGATATATCCCCTGACATAGGCCTTACATAGGTCTTATATATGGTAGGTACCTCCAATCTAGGTTCCTAAAATGGCCATTCTCATTAAAATACCCTGATTTCAGGTCAGTAAATGCTGAAAATTCGACCCTTCTCCCGGTGACGTCGGCCATCTGCCGCCATCCATCGCCATCGCCCGCAGCTAGCGACTTGGAGCAGTTCGAGTCCCTCTTCAACGCCGCCGACCTCTGTGCGCTGCGGCGCCGGGTGCTGCAGGATGTGCGAATTCAGCTGATGCCGTAGCTTGGAAGAACTTGGGGGAATCCGGGGCCGAGAAGAAGTGGACATGACTTGTTACCCTCTGGTTATGTCAAAATAGCTATTGAAAATGGCCATAGAAATAGTGGATTTTCCCATTAAAAATGGTGATTTTCCATATAGTTATGTAAACGTTTACCAGAGGGTAATGGTTTATTCATGGGTTAGTACATCCAATATAAATCTATAAAAATGGGGCCATTCATGGGAATAATCGGCTATAATGGAATATGTTTGTTCCTAAATGTTGCGAACAATAGGTGTTCAAGCGCCAATTAATAGGGATACTGTGGGGGGTTCACCAGCAAAATATGGGATTCATGGATGATCATGTGGTAAACCCAACCAGAAACCTACTTTTTGGGCATGGCTTAGACGTTTTTTACACATTTATGGTCATACTGGTAACTTCTATCTACTTGACCAAATGACAATTGGATATAATTGGGTTTTCCCAACCCCACTTCCAGCTTTTAATCTTTTTTTTGCGACCCTTAGCCGAACTCCAAAGGCCTCGCGGAACTCACGTCGTCGCCGCTAGGTATTTGCAACGCCAGCTGGCAA